AGCAATATCATAATCTCATATGCAATCAATCAAAATAATAACTTTCTTTTTTATCAGTCTACTTGGTATTGATTGGGGTCCATAAGGATGTCCCCATTACGCGTGAACCTTTTTTGTTAACATTTTCAACTAACGGACCGTCCTCATAACCTATTCGGTATAAAGCGCCAAAAAATACCATCCCTCAATACCTCGTCCAATATGAGGGTGAAACGGGTCGTCCCAATACCCCGTACGGTATAAGCGCCAAAATACCAATCATCGATACCCCATTCGGTATAAGGCAACGTTCATGGTAGTATTCCCTATGTACCTGATCCGTCAACCATCTCCCAAGATATCCAGTAAGACTACCATTCATCCATTCACTTAATCAAACAATTTTCCGTTTACTTTTAATTTTCAGTTTTCCAATTTAACTGTAAATCACGTAAAAAAACAATACATGCATCAAGGAACACAATCGAATCATTATACAAATTCTAGTGTATTATCATGCATTCGAAACTGTAAAACTAATCAATCCGTTAAACACGGCAAACAGTAATAAATAACCAATTTTAGCTTCATTAGTAACCATTAATTATCAATATTTCTAAATTACGCAAAATACCATATTATTTATAATTAAACTTCAATTCCATAACAGAAAATAAGATGAGAAATTCTTACCCGAATCGATGTCCAAAATGCAAAACTTTCAACTGCGTCTACTAGTGGTCCCTTGATTCCCTGAATTTTCTTTCAGGGATTAAAACACGCTTCAAGTACCTACAAATACCCTCAAAACCCAAAACTGGGGTTAGAAACCCTTTTTAGCCAATTTCAGAATTCCAGCATAGTGGGACCGCCATGCTCCAGCGACAACACTGCCACAAGAAGCAGCGGTTTGCCTCAGATTGGCCGTTTTTTAGGCAGTTTCTGCCGATTTCAGCCATCCCTGCGAGAAAAACACATTAAGAGGTCTCGTTTGGCCCAAAAAAACCGAAAAAACTAAAGCTTACCGGCGGCAGAGTTTTCCGGTGCGGCAGCTCCGCCGGCTCACCTTCGCGATTGGGTGTTTTATTTCAGTTAACCTGTAGCAAAAGGAATGGTGATTACAATAGTGAAAAAATTATACAAAACGGGAATAAGGAAGGGCCACATTGGAGGCAATTTTTTATTCTTTCCGCCGCGGCGTCGTGCTTTACCTGCGGTTTCCAGCTCATCCATTGATTCTTTCGCTCTGATTTGGTCATGAGGTGTTCAAAATTGAATTTCAAGCGAATGAAAATTTTTTTACCTCTTTTGGCGGTCGGAGGTGGCTCCGGCACGGCGACAGGTAGTGGTTGGCTCCCTTCCCGGCAATTGGTTCTTCTTCTCTTGGGGGAGGGGAGGCTGGCAACTAGAGTTAGAGTTTGGTGTGAAATGAGATACTTATATCTGTCTCCATTTAATCTGAGTTATCCATCGCGTTTGATCTCGACTGTCCAATCGCGTTTAAATAAGAAGTGAATCTAAACCGTTCATCGCGATTTGATTTGAAACGAACGATCGTGTTTAAAAATAGAACGAATCTAAGCTGTTCATCGCGTTTAATCGCAACCGTCCGATCGTGTCTGAGAAGGGAATGGATTCGGACCGTCCACGCGCGCAGGAACAAATCTAAACCGTCCGATTGTAGGCACGTGGATCGCCAGCGTGACCTCCCGCGCGGCACCGCATTAGTGTGCCTTACCACGCGGCGCGATTCGGTTCGTCGGGACTGCTGACTGGGCGTCCTACGTGGCACATTTTTCTTAAATTGCGTTTTGACCCTCAATTTTTTATTTTTCTTTCAAAAATACCCGAAAACCCAAATTTTTACCCTTTTTTCTCAAAACTGTTTTAAATTTCATCATCTACCTATTTTTTCTAATTTTTACATCAAATAAAATTTCATAAATTAAAAAAATCAAATTTTATAAATTAATTTTAAATTTTTTTTAAAATTTAGTTAAGGGTATTACAATCTATCACTATTGGCTAAATGGTTGTAGTGCTTTTTGCGTGAACCAAACTCTATGGCACAGGATCATAAACAGTAACTAGGGGGTGAATGGAAAGTTGAGATGCCTTAGCAAGGAGATCCTTTTACTCCCATCTCACTAAAAAGGTCATGTGGCAATTTCCAACTTTCATTTCATTAACATCTAATTAAACCTTCAATTTCAAGTGATTCTTTAAATAACTCCAATACCCAATAAAGAAACTAAAAAGTAAACCAAAAATAAACATCAAAAGAAAGGGGTAGATTTTTGTTATAGGAAAAAAATTAAAAACTCTTGCAAAGAAAGTGGCATAATAACCATTCAATAAAGTAGAGGTTAATATAGAAAGATGTAGGAAATTCACCTCTGAATAACCAAAAAGTTGAAGAGATAATCTGATCAATAGAGAAAAAAGCAAAACAGCTCAAAACCCACAAACAGAAACCAAGTACAAAGAATAAGTGACAAATAGTGCTCATGAAGTTCCCAATTGTTTTTTTTTCGAAATAAGTTCCCAATTGCTTTTTTTGAAATAACAAAGTTCCCAGTTGTTAGGAGCATTAGAAAATTTATTCCTTCGGAGATGATAAACTGGAGGGTGAGATAGGTAAGTAGTTGCTGAGTAGCTTAATAAGTTTTTTTCGCATATGTTCAGTTTTCTAGTTCTCAAATATGATAAGACACTTCTATTGTTTTATGTTTGCCACCTGTTATATGACAGGCAGTTCACTTTGCTTCAAAAACCTTATAACTGCCATCATAGGATAGAGAAAGTTCCTTGTTTGAAGGAAGCAGCCATTCAGTATAATGTAAGGAAAAATTATTTTCTTGCTATAACAGAAATCATCAGAGAAGAATTCAGAAAAATTTTATTGAGTACTTTCATACTCTTGGGATCCATGCATTCCCCCTTTAATGAACAGAACCCATACCGTTAATCAAAATCCCATAACAGGATACTAAATAGGGACCATAACATCGACATCAGTCCTTTTTGGTGTGCAAGCTCTCTGCAGATAGAAAGTTCCATATTAAAACCCTATACAACCATTTGCTGATTCCTCACGCTATCTTGGACTGCTTTCCTTGGAAGCAAGTTTGGAAGACAAAGGATGCTCCAAAATTTTCTTTTCTTTTCTTTTTGGTTCAAAGGCAGCCTAGGGGAGGATGTTAACCATCAACAACCTAATGAAGAAGGGTAGAATTCTGGTGATAAGATGCTTCATGAGCAACAAGAGAATGAATCTCCGAGTTATCTTCTTCTTTAGTGTCCTAAAACTAGAAATGGGATTAATTTCTTAACGTCCCTAACCGCCAATGGGTTGTTAGTGGGTCTGTCGAGGACAAATACTAGGGTGATATTTTGACAACTACATCCAAGATGAATTTCTTGTCATTTATCCTCGTCTATCCTCTGGGTCACATAGAAAGAGAAGTCAAATAGAGAATTGAAAATATTGACTCCTTTTTCGTTTCTTTTTGGGACCATTAGCTCGAGACCCTTTTTATTTGGCCTATGGATCTTCCTTCTCAAGATGGCATTGATCTTGTTGAACTCTTTGACCTCTTCTCTTCAAGGAAATGTAAATCTTTTTTACATTGGTTTACCCTTGCTGCCTAAATATTACACTCTCTTTTCCCTCTAAAAAGAAGACTTTGTCAGCGATAATAGTTTTTTTCCTTTTCTTTCTGAAAACAAACATAAAGCAAGAGAAAATTTTGAGAAATCTAGATAAAAAATAAAAACGAACCCATAGTTGAATTCTTGGAGAGAAAAGAGGAATTCATGGCTAACTCGTAGTTCACATATAAACCTAGACTCTAATTTTGGACATGACATGACAATGATGTCGATACCGAATCGCATCCAAAACTTGATGCAACATATTTGGAACTTGATCTAGAACTAGAAATTTGATTTTTGATAATATGCAGATGATGAAGACTTTTCTAGATTACAAGTTTTTAGATTACAAGTTTAAAGAGCACATGCATGTTCGTAGATGTCTAAATTTTGAACAATTTTGCATAATAATACTTAATAATGGTATTTAACGATACTTTTATACTTCTAAAATAGTTAATCAATTATATTACTAATTAGTTTTTTCTTTTAATTTGCTACAAATCTGGGTCTCGTATCTTTTCCTCCTAAAGATCGTATTTTTTTAACGAACCAAAACCCTAATTTCACTTTCGCTATACTAACCGCCGTACACAACGACTATTGTGATTGTGTAGAAGCAAACCCAAATATAAAAACGGAACGAAATCAAAAACATCCTTCTATATACCTAAATTGCAGTAAATACGAATGAACCAAAGCAAACAAGCTGTTTACAGTTATAATCACTTCGAAAAGTCATTTAGGCATATCACCGAACATCTCAAATCCATATTTGGAATCATACAAGCATCACTCGATACAATAACATCATCAGAACTACATTCCTAGGTCTTACATACAATCAAAGGAAATTCAATACAGAAGGATAAGAAGTATACCCACGAGAATCAATAAACCACGCGGCGTGGCTCTGGTGCGCGAGAGAGGAGTTGCGGGTGGTGATGAAGAGGTACGCTGACGCTGCTGCTTCCGCCGCTGGTGCGACTGTTAGCTTACCGTAATGGGTACGTAACTCTAGCCGATAGTTACGACAAAACAGAGGTTAGCGGCTTGTTGACTCGGAGTCGATGGCAAAGACGATGATCCGACGTTCAGACGACGGCCGGGAGCGGAGAGAGAGGAAAGGGGCAAAAGGGCATAAAAAAACGGTGGTCTCGGGACATGCTGGTTTTAAACCCAAATATAATTTAAATTAAATTTAACAAAAATAATAAAATTATCATAATATTTTTTTTATTTAAAATAATATTATTATTAAAAATAATTTATAAATATATATAAAAAAAATTGGTTAATATAAAAAATTAGTTTCTATATAATTTAAAAATATTTTTAAAATAATTAAAATACATGATGAATATAATTCATAAATAAATAAATAAATAATATTTAGTTTAAGTTACTTTTATTATATTAAATTTAATTATAATATAAATTTTAATATTTTGTTTAATTTTAAAATTTTTGTTCATATATTTTTGTTTTAATGTAGTTTGTATTATGTATATATATATATATATAAGTTTATGTATATATTTTACTTTAAATTTTGTTTTATTCTAAATAGACAAAATCCCATGAATATCCTCCTAGAGGATAAGATAATTATTTCTATGGAGAAAACACTTTTCATTACAAGATGAACAAGAAGAAGTATTTACAATTTGGCATTACAAGAACTGGAATCTCAGACAACTTAAATTACATTTAGATCCTCCTCAATGCAAGAAAGACAACAACTTTGGAGTTCATTTCCACAAATTTTCCGAGACCCCAAACAAGATTTACCAAGAAAAATCATGCTAAATCCCCCTTATTTTCTTCTCTGCAAATATTTCTTACAGTTCATGGAGTAGAACCCCTCCAAACCTAGAAGTCACCACCATGAACAGTTCAAATTCATTCACCAGTACCCAAAAGAGTATCATCAACTTCCCCCCCAACAAAAGATTTTCTCTGGAAAATCCCCAGTTCATTTTTTCTTCACTTGATTACTTAATCATATTTCTCCCTCCATGAGTATACAATAAAGAAAATCCAAGAAAAAGCCAATGTGATATCCCCAGCAACCTGCCTAGGCCATTCATAGGCAAGATCTTCAAGCTTTCCTTCAAAGCAAACTCTCCACACAGCCATGGAAACATGGAGCAGAATACAACCTTTAGCAAAGTAAGTTTGGAACTCTCTATCCTTGACAAATGACACCATGAACAAAACAAATCCAATTGAAATCAAAAGCAACCCAGAAAATGATTCTGAGATTTGAATCAGGAGTTGATCATGGGGGGTTGATCCTTTGAGCTTGCTAGCAATCTCAATGCCATGGCCAAACACAGAGGCTTCATTGGTGTAGAACATCATTAATCCCCCACAAACAAGAGCAACCAGAGAATGGAGAATGCAGATGATGAAGAACAGTGGAGAGTCCATTGATCAAAGTCCACCGATGAAATTTCTCAGTCAACACGGAATCTCAAAATTAAATCTGATTGAGTAAACCCATAATCTTGACCTCAAAATTGGAATCCCAACAGAGAAGATGAACTAAAAGGTCAAAACCCCTAAAACCCATTTCATTGACCAAAAGTCATTTCCTAACTTTAGAATCTGTAATTTGAGAAACCCAGATAAACCCATCAATCAAATTCAAAACCCATTTGGATTTTCTCTGAACCACTTCAAATCCCAAACACAGTACTGAATCAGATGCTAAGAGAACCCAGAAAAGCTCAATTGACCACCAAACAGAGACAACAAAAAAATGCTTATGGAATCTGGACCCCTCTTACCTAACAATCAAATTGGAGAGATTCAGGAAAATTCTAGATCCAAAAGAAGAAAACTGAAGAGCGAAGAAACTGAAAGGGCGTTTCAGAAGAAGGAAATTTTTAATTTTATTTGAGTCAAACAAAAAGAACAAAAAGTGAATAGTCATAGATGTGCATTGACGGGTTCGTACAAGATATATATTAATAAATATAATACCATATATGCAAGAATATTTGGTTGAGAGGTTTATTTTATCTCTGGGATTTGACGTTGTATTGGGGATTTTTGGTAGATTAGGGGATTGAGTATGGGTCTGGAGTTGTGTCCTTTAATGGCAGAAACACTGTCACCCTTCCATCCCTTTCCCCATTCACTCACTGTTTGGTTCCTTGCTTCTTCTGTCAAGCAAATTCAACATCTGTGGGGTCATGAACCCATGGTGCTTATATCATCTTTTTGTGATTCATTCATTAATTAATTCATTATTAATGATGGTGTTTTAATTCTCTTTTCTGGTCCAAGGGTGTTTTAATATTTTATTTCTTCATTCTTTAGTGGTAGTCGGGAGGATTGGAAAGAGCATAAAGTAATGAAAAACTAATTTAATGAAAGATTACATGTTCTAATTTCAGTAAAGTAATTGAAAAAAGACTTACATAGTGAATTATTATTTATCTTTTCAATTTAAAGTAATGATTATCTACATTTTGCAGAACAGAACAGATAATGCCTTTTCCATGTCCCAGGTAATCAAGCTGCGGTGCTCTGTTTTCTGAGTGCCGACCAATTGAAAGCTACTAAACTATTATGTAAAACAGAGATGAGAATGACATTCTTCACCTCGAAAATTTACTTGCATTAAAAAAAACAAAGAAAGAAGAGTAGGAGGATATGAACATGATAATACCAAATGAACAAACTGATATAACTTCGATCTCTTGCTCGTATATCATCAAATTACTTGAATAGTAGAGATGATCAAAAAAGAACCTCCCCTTGTGAGCTCATTAACATTCACACTCTGTTTTGACAATGCTCGCCATTCATGGGACTGTTAGGTTTAACCAAATGCTAGAAGGTCCTAAACAAAGAAAAATGCCAGAACCTTCCTTAACCAGATTGGTCACCTCAAAATGACCTTTCAGTATGCATCTTAGAAGAGACGATACGGACATATATACACACACACATATATACCACAAGTACATCAAATAGAATAATGCAGGTGTTTATTACACTCTAGCATGCACGTTAAACATGTATACTTCACTCCCGAGATTCAAGGAAATTGGGAATAGATTGTATGAAATTTATGTTGTGGCATAAAGTATTTACAATAATAAAAGAATATATATCCACAAGTTTCCAACAAAATTTTATGCCAATTCTCTTTAATGATCGCTTTCTAGCAAAAACCGTTTCCTTCTTCTGATCCTCCTATACTCATCTAACAATCCTCCTACCTTTGATGTATGTTAAGAAGCAGTGGAAAGAACTTAAAAAGGAAAATGGAAAAGAGGGGACATTTTTCTTTGAATGAAAAAAAAAATAAAGAAAATTATAAATTGTTGTCCCGATTACCGGCAACAACCTTACGGTGACGCCTTGAACCAGATCTCTTGTCCCTACCATGCTTAGGAGGAATCTTCCTGCCTGCCGGATTCCTTCCTGTTAACTTACCCTGAGACACAGCCAATGAGTTTTCAGCTGCAACAGCAATTGGAGGGGCCATGCTCATCATCAAATCTCTGTGGTAAACCTGCAAATCACAAGAATTCAGGTATAGGTACAAATCATATTTAGGAAATTTGTAGAGTACAAATCAAATCCCTGAAAATTCAAGTTTTAGAGTACTTCTATTACTAAGAGATAATTGAATGCTCCCTTGTGTAGCCCAAACGATTCCAATACTCATGATGAGATCTCAAGTTAAGAAACATATCGATCTAGTCTCAGATCTTAGGTTATAAGGTGACTTCTGAAGTGCAAGTTCATTGGCTTGGAGTTTCACCCTCAGATGCCTCATTGGGACTACTCAAGGCATTATGTCTTTCAAAAAGTCTTAAATCCTTCCTGAAACTGTGTAATGATGAAATGATCGTGATCAAGTACAAAATGGAAAGAGAACACAAGAGGACGGCACTTAAGTCTAACTCCCTTGATTTCAATGTAACCTTCCTACACCTTTGTGGACACCCATGTTGAGGGAGCGAGCGATTGTACGGTCTAAATGAGTAATAATAAGGATAAGATGTTTGGTTTGGTTTGTAGAACATTTATGCTTCTGGAGCCAACAAGAACAAACTATATTAATTTTTTCGCAGTTCCTAGACAGATTCTGAATAATATTTTTCTTTTTCACTAGATGTTAGGAGATTACTCCACAGTGTGGGAGTTACCTATTCCTTAGGAGCTATTGAAATCCAATATTCTCTAAAGTTGTGTAAACCTGCAGCATCCATGAACAAAAAGAAAAAAGCAAGAGGAATTATCTAAAAAGGTATGCCTCGTTCGTAAACTTAGATATATTTAAGGGTTCTGCCTTAACGACCCCTTATCAAAGTGATCGGTTCTTTGCGACTCCCTAACGCAAGTGATGAAGAGGTTCTCTTAATGAGCCCTTACCTTTTCTTATTACAAACCCATAACTACATCCTACTTTAGACGACCCTAACATTTTATGATGCAGCAAAGGACCAGAAGGTCACTATTACCATAATGAAATCCAGGAATCCCTCCCTTAACCAAGTAGACCAAAGATTAACATTTTATAATGCAGGGAAGGGCCAGAAGGTCACTATTTACCATAATGAAAATGCAATTGCATACAGTATCCAGGAACCCCTCCCTTAACCAAGTAGACTAAAGATTGGAATGGTGTGGATGGGTTCTATAACACATTTTTTCGAAGCCAAGTGCACCATTCACATGAAGAATGAAGTCAAAACCCCCATCAGAGCACCCTAATCCCCTATGACACAGAATTGGTGAAGCAATCATAGAACTCAAGTATACAAGATAATCGCTTTGTACATTTTTCATACAGTTAATCTTTCAGAAAGGTGCTCCACAATAAAACTTTTTCGTCAAAACAACATACAAATGAGAGAACTAAGGTTCAAAAATCTATCTTTAAATGGCTTTCTCTATTACTACCAACTTAATGCGATAAAAAATACCTGAAAAGGAAAAGGAGGGAAGAACCGAAAACAACATCCAAGTTAAATGCTTGAAATAATCTTCTATCCACATTATTATGGCAATACAATTTTTACCTGTACCACAAAATTGCGCCTCTCACAATCCATAAACATGTTGATGCTCCAGTTAACTCTTGCCATGATTTTATCTCTCACTGTAGAGAAGCTTAGCTGATCCCTGGAAGTAAAACGGTCAACTTCGTTGAACCAAAGACATGTGAAAAGATTTGTGATGGGAATATGTTCCCTTATGATAACGCAGCCTTCAGGCACATCTGCACAAGTCAATGTTTGAGAAAACTCAAATTTAAGCTATAAGACAAACCTGTTAAGAACAAAGGTATGAGTACATATCACATCAAACATCTAAACCTACCACTGGTAATAGGAAGCTTAGCCTCTGAATATGGTGTTAAACCCTCCTTCTTATAAAACTCGATCTGATAATCAATGGATGAGTTGTCATACTTTTTACCAGCTTTATTGGCTTCAGCCTCTTCAAACACGTCAAAGCGTCTATAGTGCCTTGATATTGCAAAAGTAGCATTTTCACGCCACAAGAATCTGGAAAAAGCATATGTATGCCAAGAAAAATTATTGACTGTATACTTAGTAAACAATCATAATTTATCCAAAGTGACTACAGGATCCTAATTACATCCCACCCTAAGAGCCTGAAGTGTGAACAGCACATGAAAGTCAATTGCTGGATGCTTAAAGAAGCCTCAAAATGATCTAATTCATATCTATATTCCAAGTTTGAGGAATGTAACAAGCCTGAATAACAAAAGCACTTTAATCTGATAAGACAAGAAACATCCTACAAAAGGCTAAAACAGATTAACTTTCATGAAGATGTACTAGGATAAATTTGTTCAATGTGATGATACCAAAGTGTGAGATATATTTAACCGAAACGTGAGGCAACATTCCTGAACAAAGGCCATGTCTGTTACAGGGATAGGTAAAGAGGTCTTACACAGCCTACTCAATGTTTGAGAGCTAAACTCAATTGGATGGGATAAGCGGTAAGTCAATATCTTACCCATAGGGAGCAGTGTTAGTCACACCACCAGATTGAACCAGCACTATCCAAGAAGCATAGTGTTTATTTTTACCAAAATACCCATTTGATTTTTGTTTCTTCCATAAACCCTCATAGACTACACTAATTACCCAAAAACATAATTTAGAAACAAGAGCCACCTACTGCCTTCGGACCACCTGAAGCTTACCAGAGAAGGAAATAAGAAACCACCTTCATCCAGTCCCGTCGTAACCAAGAAAGACATCAGGAGGTGAATCACAACCTTGTGACCATGATTTCCAGTCCAGTTTTTATTAAATTAAAAACTAATTAAAACATGATTGGAAAATAATTTTTATCTTGTAATATGTTGAAATAATTTTATATTTAGACATTTAGTATTAAATTTATTTTATTCTTATTTTAATGCATTTAAATTTTTTTATTAATCATTATTATCTTATTTTAATATTGATTACTTATGTTCTTAAATATTTTGAGGGTACAATAGTCACATACACTACTGAATCATCTTCTTTACCCAATGATCACATCCTTACCTTATCCTAGCCTATTCAACTAAATCATTGTAACTTTTTTTAAGGAAAATATATATATTAACGAAGCACTAAAGGGATGAACTTCCAAATATAACTTACAAATTAGTCAAACTATCTATTAGGTTCCCGAAGTTCTAGTCAGAAAAAGAGACTTGCCCTTAAACGAAAAAACTTGGAGTCTGGAACCATTAAACCCTAATTTAATAAATGGAAAAACTAAATTCTAAAAATCTCTTCTATTGCTTTCCTTCAAAATGACCTATTAGTCGCTGAGAAGATGAGAAATATTTGGCTTTTCCAACACTTACCAAGCCCTTGAAAGCCTTCTAGATGCCTGCCACTTGAAACTCTTTAGCCATTGAAATCTGCAATTAACTAACCCATAGACTCTAATAGGGTTAGGGTTCAGGTGAACATCCAAGCTCAAGGTTAGGTTCTAGGCTTTTTAGGAATTAACAAGAGAAGAAGTGAGAAGTAGAATGAGAGAATAAAAATAAAATAGAGAGGATTTCAAGAAAAAAATCGTTGATTCCATTCCAAATTTTCAGAAGAATTTTTGTGCTTACATCCATTCTTGAATTACAAATTTTTCTATCTGTTCTTTTGAGAATTGTGCATAACAAACTAAGGATATTCCAGAATTGAAATAACAAAAAAAGGAACATTATTGCTGCAACTAATCCGAGTCTTATCGAAAAATTAAAATTAACATAGCAATTAGTTAGGCTAGATACTTCTAACCTAGGTGCCCACTCACTATTTACTGTTAAGGGCCTGTTTGGATGATTTACATGAGAATTCAT